TAGCTGACCCGGAGATTGAGACTGGATGTGGTGGTGCATGCCTTTAATCCCTGTGTATAGGAGGCTGAAAACAGGAGGGTCACTATGAGTCCGATCTGTGTAGTTAAGACCCTGTAGATCTTGTACTAAATACATTTAGAAAAACATTTAAAAAAATCAGTAAAGGCAGCAAAACCTTCACAAGAACTTGAAGCTGGTGTCTGAAAGGAGGAAGTCCCAAGTCAACTACAGTTCACTATGCTCCTTTACTCTTTCAGCTACAAAATTAAGACTGAATTAGCTGCTCTAAACCCAGTGAAGATATGGGCAGGAGATAGATCAAACAGTAACTAACTTCAGATGCTATTGTCTAACTAGCAAATGACTATTCTTAATTATCTAAAATTAAAGTACTATAGGGCTACATAAAATAGTGCAATAAAATACCCTAGAGTGGGGCTGGAGAGATAGCTCAGAGGCATAAGCACCTACCTGGCAAGCATAAGGACTGTAGTTCAATCCCTGGCCCCACGTGCCATGCAGTCTTGGCCCCGGATGCAGATGCCCACCCCACCATGCGGCCCCAGAACTGGGCATGGCGGCGCACACCTGTAATCCCAGTACTCGGAAGGTTGAGTCAGGAGGATCTCTGTGAGCTTGAGACCAACCTGAGGGCCACAAAAGTGAGCATCATGCCAGCCCAAACGGCACAGCGAGACCCTGTCTCAAAGAAAAAACAAACACTGGAGTATGCAGGTGACAACAGTGCAGCGGCTAGAACTATAAGCTGGCAATACGAAGATGGGGAGAGCACATGACACAGAACGCATTTATTAGGGTATCACTAGGGGTAAAAATAAATAAGTGTAAATGCATAAAAAAACCTGGAACACCGCTTTTTCCTTTGTGCTTTTTTGTGTGTTCTAGTATATGTGCTACTAAAGCAAGTGCTCTTTTTTCTAAGAGAAGGAAAAAAGTTATTTAATAATAAAAGGAATAACACTACCTTCCTGTTGTAAGCCTTTTTTTCCCAAAGCCTCTTCATATTATCTCAGTTTTACTAATTTAATTGTTTTCCTTTTAAACCAGTTTACACTAAGCAAATACTCTTCGCTGAGTATTGCACCCCAGCCCAATTAGTTTACTTGTTAATGGAACTGTTACACTGCTGTTCTGCTGAAGGCCTTTATGCACTGCCTACTATACAAAATCCTGAAATCCATCTGCCTACCCCAAAAAAGACAACTGATCTTTCCACTAAAACATGCCTTTGTGAACAGTCCAGTAACCTGTGTGCCCCACTTTGATACAGCAAGGAGACATAAATCCACTTTTATAGCCAGTGGCTTTTCACAAGGAGTTTTAAGATGTGGTGTTTAAATTCAAGATGTAATGCAGTAAAGCAATACAAGCCCTTAGTTACCCAGGGGTCTGAGCTGTATGTCCCAGGGCTTTGCTACACTT